TGAGCGGCTGGTCTGTATGTGGGATCCGAACCCTCGGCGGGAGCGCCACCGCGCTTCCCAAGCGGCGCACTATAGCAGTGCGCCACCGGGCTGGCCCTATATTTTTTTGAAATACAGTTTTGAAACATAGTATTAGTTTGGTTTATTCTTAAGGTTAGCTAAATCTTTGAAGTAAAACAATGTAAAGATCATGATTTATTTAGTAACCTGCTAAAGCTATTTTTTTGAGAAGTATAAATATAAAATTAAAAGGAATCCTATTTAAAATTATATGTAATTACCTCTTAAACCTTTTCTCTCCTCAAACAATTTTTTAAAAAAATGTTCTGTAATAAAAGGATGTATAACATTTATATTCTCTTTTATGGAGAATAGGCTTTAGTTATTTTTTAATCTCATTTGACTTAACATACCTCTCATTTCCAGTTGGACAGAATGAGAAGATTTTGGCCCATTCATTTCCTGTTTAAGGACATAAAGCTTCACTCTCTTAAAAAAGTATATGTGATTTTAACTTGCTAATTTAGAAATGCCTGATAATTTATTTTTCAGTATAATACATAAACACACACAGAATATATATTATATATTTTCATGTACATTAAAAATCCAAAAAATTTTTTGAAAAAATTAAATGTTCTCTATTCTATGTCTACTCAGGCAGAAAGCATTTACTACATTTCAAAGGAAGACTGGTTAAAATTAAGTTTAAGTACTCAAAAGAATTAATTAGTTACTGGGTTATACTGGAGTGCATAGAACAATTCCTTGCACATAGTAGGTGCTCAATAAATATTTTTAAAAATAAATGCCAGACTCAGGAACAAAACAAGCTACCAAATGAATAAGAAATTACTGTAGTAATCTCCTCTGATGGAAAACCCAACACACATCCACTTCGTTCATAAACTAAATGGTTAACAATAACATTTCCACAGGGAAGGTAAAAACTTGACCAATATTACATAGTAATTTTTCTACTACTGCTTATTTGAGAAAACATCAGTTTCTTTGCTATTTTAAAAGACATAAAAGGCAAAAGAACATACAGATTGTCACTATTTTCATTAGTATCTTTGTTTTTATAACTTGAAATATTAATAGCATGTAATCAGATATAAAGTTTATAAGCTAGAAAAAAAATTCCCAATTTTAAGTTTTCTGTCCATACTAAACTATTTAAAGTTGACTCCTTTAAACATAATTTATGGCCCACTTTCAGAGAGACTACATATGTTAAAACATGCCATCTGAAATGTATCTATCGATATGCAGAAAATCAAACATAATATAATCATTCTACAAGACAGTGTTGCTCCCCAAGCACTAACATTAATAACAACATTCCAACATCTTCCAATGATTTTTCAAATGTTTAGGTATAAAGTGTACAAGGGCAATCAAGCTTAATGTTTAGCTATTTCATTCAGCCTGAGTATAAGCCTGAAAGGTGAGGGGCCTTACAATGTTTTTCTGCATAGCATTTATAAACAATAAGAATTTTAGGAAAATGTGAAAATAATTTAACTAAAACTTAATAGAACACATAGAATAAGCTGATTTTTATGGATTTATGGTCTGACAAACTGTCAAGGATTTTAAAACTTTTTTTAATCCTAGCTGTTGATTGATTGTGCTTGGGTAATTATTGTAGGATTACCGTCCTCCCCTAAAGTCATGATTCCAGTGTTAGAATTCAAATACTATGTACGTACTTTTGCTTTTTTTAACTACCACCCTTTCTAAACACGAAACTGCAACCACTCTCAAGTAAACCTACATACAGTCTTAGAAGTTTACATATGCTATGTTCTTAAACTATATAGAATATGAATGTACTACATTAATTATGCTTGTTCAATATTTACTATTCAAGTCTCATGTCACTTTGCCTCCTAACCGATGGGGACAGGCTTCAGACTCTGTCAACTCTAATCTATCCCCTATGAAACAGATATTAACAAAATGTAGATCTGATCACATTCCTTCCATTTGTAAAGTTTAACTGACTCCTTACCAAATAGAGGATAAAGTTCAAACTCATTCACCGAAAACAGCCTCTCATAATCTGGTCTCAATCTAAATTTCCTGCCATAAATTACTACCTGTCTCAAACACATTCTCTCATGCATTCTCTGAATATCCCTTTTTTAAAAAAATTCTTTTTCCTTCTCTACCTGTAGAACTTCTATATATCTTACAGGACTCAAAATACAAGTGCCCTCTCAGTGAAGTTTCCTAAGTCTTCCAAGCAACTGAATCCTTCCCTCTACTATATCTCATGCCATTTTGCACATATCTTTTATAATAGCACTCATAAATTTTTTCAAACTAATTTGTTGACATATATACATTTCCTTATTTTATTCATCATTGTATTTCCTGTATCTCCTTACCAGTGCCTGTCACATATTGGCATTTACTCTGTTCCGGATTTAAAAAAGGATAAATTGGCTTTACAGCACATATGAACTTAGAAAAAAATCTTCTTATCCAAACTTTACAGAAAAAAACAGGCAGAGTACGTATAAAGTCATATGCGGACACTTTCTCTTTGGAATAAATTTGTTTCTTAACATTTTATCTAGGTGACCTAAAAGTTTCAGCTTCATCTTAAACTCTAATTTCTGATGTAGCATACCAATATACAGAAACTTATCTTAAACTGATTATTTGGTTTCACTTGATAAGGTATCTTCAAAATATGGATAATAAACTAGTCTGAGTTCTGGGCATGCAATCGAGTAACATCCTAGTTTCTAAAGTCATTCTCATATTAAATTTACATAAGAAAACATAAAAAAACAGTGATTAAAAATATATAACCACAACACTACATTCCTTCATTAATGGGACAATTAAATTGAATGTATTTAGCATGCACTTACTTTTGTGAGGATTGAAATCTAATGTTAAGCTACCAATTCTATTGATCTAAACTTTAATAATAAATTCATACCTATGAATGACATTAACTGCCAGTTTGATGATATTCAAGCTATTTCTATTACCCAGATAGGTCTATAATTTATTCTTAAATTTGTTTTTTTTTTTTTTCCTTTTTGTCTTTTTTACTGACCGGTACGGGATCGCAACCCTCGGTGTTGTGCCCGTACCGGGGACCGGCAACGGGATCGCAACCCTCGGTGTTGCGCCCGCACCACGCTCAGCCAGTGAGCGGGAACCCAGTGAGCGGGAACCGGTCACCACATGGGATCCGAACCAATTTCTGACAATTTCACACACAAAAAAATAATTCCACAGTTGATTAACATCAAATAGAAGCTTCCCTCTCTAAAATTTTCAGGAAAGGGAAAAAAGATGAAGTTATACTTCACAGACGCTGAATGATGAGTAGGCTTTCAACTGAGAGACTATTTCCATTGATTCTATGATTTATCCAGTCATTGATTCGACATACTGAGTTCCTACTAAGTAAAAGACACGTGTTAGAGAATACAAATTATATTCCTTTCAAATATAATTGTGGCAGCCTAAGGAGTGTATGTAGTACCTAGGGCAAATCATTTGACCTATTTGATCTTTAATATTCTTATCTATAAATGGGGTTGATAATAACTGTCCTTCCTCTAAGATTTATTACCAGGATCAAATGAGGTACTAAAACGTGGAACAGAAAAGCACTTTCAAATATGAGATTATTTTTAAAAATCTGAAATAAGGTTACACTACAACACAAGAGTTATCCTTGTCTCCAGCAGTTTGATGGTTTCATTATATGGTTTAATGTAACAAATATTTATTAAGAGTTTATCATGATACTGTGCTCAAGTGCTAAAGTGTTAAAAAATTTAAAAGGTACAATTACTTCTCTTAGGAAAAAAGCTTACATTCTAGCAATAAAATCTCAAATATCCATAATACAATGTAAATTTAACAAGTATTATAAGATTTATAAAGCCTAATCAGTACACAAGAGAAAAAGAATGTTTTGGACTCACGGTAGATTTCAGAAAGTTTCATAAGAGGTGGCATTTAAGGCATTACTGAATAAGTAGGATTTCTACAAAGACAGTAAGGAAGGCATTCCTTGTTGAATCAACGCTTGGATGGAAAGTTAGGATCAGTTACAAGTCAGGAAACAAACTGAGTTTACCAGTGAAAGTGAGTAAGAGCACCAAGTGAGGAACTGTACCAAATTTCATCTTTAATTACCAGAGTCGAATGTTGATTCTAAAAACAAAAAAGACTTAACTCTGGTTTCATTTTCAAATACTGCATTTACTAGGCCATGATAAAAGATTTGGTCTTCTGCTTTAAGGTAATGAAATGGAAGTAGTTTACTAAAGTAAGGGCCATTGCTACATTTAATATTATTATTTATATCTAGCTTTCTTGAACTAAGAGTTGCTTTGGTTGGTTTAGATGTTATTTAAAAATCTTTCCTTCCTCAACACTAAGGACCCTCCCCCAACTCCTCCTCCCCGACCCCCTCTCCCTCTCTCCCTCTCTCCCTCTCTCCCTGTTCTCATGGGAATCTCACATGGTCTCAGACAGCCCCTGCCGTCGTACTCTCCTTACCATTGGCAGCTTTTCCGTTTTTCGAAGTCCCTAGCGCAAAGTCCTCGTGGATCCGTGGGTACCACGGAGCTACACACAGACCGAACTCAAGGAATGTCCACCGAAGGAATGACTGGGCGCCAGCCTGGCCCACCGGTCACTTCGCTCGGCACGCCCCAGGCTCTGAGACACACACTGCCTTTTTCATTCGCTTGACACACCCCTCTCCTCAGGCCCTTTTTCCTCCTCCACCCAGCACGCTCCACACTTCGCCAGTCGGAGTTACAACGTGTCACTCCGTCTCCTCCCACCCCTACTTAGCAAGCAGTGTACTTCAGGTCCTCGACACTGTCCCTTCACCCAGACAGAGTTCACATCTGCCGCCCGCACGTCTCCTGCTCCTCAGAGAGTTGCCCGGGCCGCCCCGCAGCTGCTGGCCTCCCAGAGCCCGCCCGATCCCAAGAGCGCTCAGGACTCACCTCCCGCACAGCTCGGCCGGCTGCGCGCACTGGGGGCCGCGGCTCAGCTCCGCCGGGCGCCCCGGGCTGACGACCCCGACGGGTCAGCCGGGACCGCTGACCCGCAGCGCCGCCGGTTCCCTCTGTAATCGCTGCCGCCAGCTCAGTGCGGCGCAGGCGTTTCCGGGTTCCCGCGGTCCGGTCCCGCAAATGCTCCGGCTTCCGCCGCGTCCCGGACAAACGCCGTTCCCGGTTTGGCTCCGGCGGCCCCAGCTCGGCACTTGTCAGCTCCGTCCCTAAGGCGACGCTCCTGGGCTACTCCGCTGGCAGCCCCAGGTGCCGGCTTCACCGTCGCGTTACCGCTGGGGCTCTGCCTCCTGCTAGACACCTCTTGAGGGGACGAGGCAGATGGGGGTGACCCTCGCCGTGGGACTCTGCGGAGCTGTCCGGTTGCACAGTGTACCACGGTGTCCAGCTGCGAAAGGAAGGGCAAAGTCCTTTGGGGCAAAGGACCCTGAGAGGGGTGGGGAGGCGGATCCTGTAAGCAAACGAACCCGCTCCTAGAAATGACTCTCACAGACCCGAAAACAAACCAGATCAGCTCTGGCGCAGACCGACTAGTATTCTGGAAGGTTTGTTCGGTTGGAAATGACCACTTTTCCCACTCTGACTGATAACCCTGATGAGGCTGAGGGGAGCCCAAAGCGGTGCCGCCAATGGGCCTCGTGCCATTAACCAGGAGAGGAAAAAGAAGAGGAAGCTGGGGCCAGAGTATCTCAGAGTTATGAGTGACCCTTCCTGGCTACATGGACCCCTTACACAACATTATCTTTTAAAAGGCCTTCCAATATCTTTGTTGGAAACTCTCCAATCACTACAGGATGAAATTAACATTCTAGGTCCAGTTTCGTCATCATAGAGTAGAGCAGGATTATCCCTTTCCTCCTAACACAATCCTGCTGTAAATTAAGCCTGTCTCCTTATATTGCAAATGTTTAAAACTAAGTCCAAGAAAGACATACTTAGAAAAACGAGAGAGAACAGAAAAATAAAATTAAATAACTGTCTTAGAGTAGAATAACTGGCTTTAAAACTTTCTGTAATATAAGAAAATTTGTGGATGGTGGACTATAATACTTGTCCGATTTTTTAAAAACTAAAATGTGCGTGATACATGATAATAACAGCTAGGAACTATTAGAAGATCTGTCAAAAGACAATTACAACAAATCTGGGTATAGATCTAATTGTTTTTTTTTTTTTTTTTCTACTCTGGAATTGGGCAACACTTTATTCCACAAAAATAGAATAAGTGTCCCAATGAATTGAGCAGAGGAGGTTGGTTTTAGTAGAGAAGATCTGAAGAAAGCAGAAGCAAAGAACAGAAAACAAATCGGTCATTTCAACCTTACTTTTCTTGTAAGGCATTAACAGGGAAATAGAACAATAGAGAAATAACTGATTGGTTATCATCAGGTTTCTTCAGGTTACTCTTCTTAGTAAGGATTAAAGTAGAGGGAAATTTATTATCATACCTACTAAAACTGGCCTGTTTAGGAAATTTGGCTATTATTTCTCCTGATTTCTAGGAAGGGCAGACAACAACTCAGTTTCTGTAAACTGTGGGACCTCGGAATGAGTGAGTCCATTCTAGTTTTTAGTCTGGTTTGTTAGGACTTAGTGCAGGAGCTCAGTATGAAACAATGGCCTCATAATTTTTATTTAACAGATCCTTTTATGTGTGTGTGCGTGTGTGTGTGTATACACACATACTTATATTCACTCAAAAAATAGTAGGTACTTAGTAAATATGTGTGGTTGTAAGGGGAAAGAAAGCCAAAATATTTTTTATTTTTATTTTATTTATTTATTTATTTTTTTGTCCTTTTTTTGAGACCGGCCGCACTGCGCTCAGCCAGTGAGCGCTGTGAGCGCACTGGTCATCCCTATATAGGATCCGAACCCGCAGCGGTGGGAGTGCTGCTGCACTCCCAGCGCCGCACTCTCCTGAGTGTGCCACGGGCTCGGCCCCCAAATATTTTTTAAATACACCAGCAAGAAAAATACACCTTATTCTTAGTTGGTTAGAACTCAGTGTTATAATACCAGGTCAAGGGGCCGAGCCCAGGGTCTCAAAAAGGACAAAAAAAAAAAAAAAAAAAAAAAAAAACCAGGGAAAGGGTTTGAACCCCCCCCCAAAAAAAAAGCGGCCAAAAAAAAAAAAAAAAAAAATACACCTTATGAGGAGACTTCAAATAGTTCATGGAAAATGAAATTAAAAAATAAAAATTAAAAATATAAACTTTATTTCTCAACATGAGCTCCATCAAATTCAAAACACTTTTGAAAGTGATGATACCAGCCACCAGTTAGTCTATCCCTGAAGAACTGAGGGTCTTGGGAATTTAACCATGTCAATGCGGTCTTTTTCACATAATTAACTGAAGAAAATGGGTGCCCTTTAAAGATTTTTTAAGATTAGGAAACAAAAATAAGTCAGAAGGAGCCAAATCAGGATCGTAAGGTGGATGCCTAATGGTTCCCATGGAAACTCTTGCAAAATTGTCCTTGTTTGATGAGAGGAATGAGAGGAGCATTGTCATGGTGGAGAGGGACTCTCTGGTGAAGGTTTTCCAGGTGTTTTTCTGCTAGAGCTTTTGTGTTCTCCAGACATTTTCATAATAAGCATATGTTATCATTCTTTGGCCCTTTAGAAAGTAAACAAGCAAAATGTCTTGAGCATCTCAAAAAACTATAGCCATAAACTTTGCTGCTTTGCTTTGACCGGGTCACTTCCATCCCTTAGTAACCATTGCTTTGATTGTGCCTTGTCTTCAGAATCATACTGGTAAGGCCGTGTTTCATCTCCCGTTACAATTTTTCCAAGAAATACTTCAGGGTCTTGGTCCCACTCGTTTAAAATTTCCATTGAAAGCTCTGCTCTTGTCTGCAACCAATCTGGGAGTAACGGTTTTGGCACTCATCCAATGGAAAGTCAACTGTAATTTTTGAGTGAGAATTGTGCAACCTGGAGCAATTGAGATGTCTCTGTTGCTGGCTATTTTTTCTGCTATTAATCATTAGTCCTTTTCAATTAGGGCATGAACAAAGTTAATTTTTTCCTTGCAAATTGATGTGGACAGTCAGCCATTGTGGGCTTCATATTCAACATTGTCTCTTTTCTTTTTGGAACTAGTTAGTTATCCATTTGTAAACTGCTGACTTCTTTGGGGCATTGTCCCCATAAACTTTTCATAAAGCATCAATGATTTCACCATTCTTCCACCCAAGCTTCACCATCAATTTGATGTTTGTTCTTGCTTCAATTTTAGTGGAATTTATGTTGGTCTGACAGAGGCTCTTTTCAAACTGATGCCTTATCCGTCATAGTGCCTCAAACTGGAATCCTGTTCAGACATGTTGTAAGAAGTTAGTACAAATTTATTTTGATGCAAAATAATTGTGAAACTCATGCACAGATTTTTTATAATATGCATTTTCCCATGAACATTTTGAAGACACCTCGTACATTCTTTAGAGAAAAGAAAGCCCTTTCAATTTGTTCAGAGAGATTTAAAATGATAAAAATGAGAAGTAGAAGTTAGAAGTACTTATATTATGAAACAGTAACATGCACTTTGTCACCAGGGACAGGCATGAAACTGAAAATGACCAAATACCTACAGACAAAAGCAAAAAGGAAAAAAGAGGGCAAAATATATGAGACCCACAACTGATGATGTGAAGTAACGATATGAGCCCCCAAACTGATGAACAAAAGAAAGCAGGAGTTTCATTAGCCTTTTGTGACTTTACGATTTATACTCTAATAATATGGAACTGCTTTGAATTTTTCTGTATATACCATTTCTTTTCTCATGTTGGTTGCTAAGAATAAAATACTTTTCTGCTCTTCCCTTATATTTTTTATACTGGCCTTACTCAACTGTTAGTTCTTTGCCCAGATATCATTCAAACTTGAAGAATTGTCTTGCCTCCTTCCTCTCAAGGCTCCAAATCCGTTCTCTGTGGTCCCATAGCATCTTGAGGCATCCTTTGCATACTAGGTCATTTTACTTAATTCATTGTATTGTGCTTCTATTTTATATCTATCCTCTCAGCCCAACACTTTCCTTAAGGTCAATAATATTTATCTTTGGATCTCTAGCATCTAGAATAGTGCCCAGCACACAGCAGAAATTTAATACACATTTCCTGAACTGAAGTGAACTTGTTGGTAATGATGTCAAAGAGAAGCCAGATATTACAAAAGCTCGCCAGGGCAAGAATGAGCCTGAACTGCAAATCTGGACAACCAACAGTTCAAGTCAATATCTAAGGCATGAAGCTCTTTTGATAATAACAATACTATTTTTCTTTGTTAGCTCATTTAACTCTCACAATAGCCCTATAAAGTAAGCATTGGTACCTATAGTTTACAAAATAGGAGAAAGTGAGGCTTACAGATATTAAGTAAGTTACTGAAGTTTCCATATCTACTGAAGGATAAGCTGGGGTTCAAGTCCTTATTTGTCTGCCTTTAAAGTCCATATTTTAAAACACTACACTTAGCTATTGTCAAGGAACAAAATTATAACAAATTTAGTTAAAGATGTCAATTAGTTTTATTGCAATTCTAGAATCGGGCAACACATAATTCCATAAAATAGAATAAGTGTTCTAATGATCTGAGCAAAGGAGGTTGATTTTACAGTAGGAAAAAGGCTGAAGAAAGCAGAAACAACAACAGAAAAGCAAATTGGTCATTTCAAAGTTACTTTCTTTGTAAGGTGGGGGCAGGAAGACAGAACAAAAATAGAAAAATAACTGACTGGTTAGCATCAGGCTATCTTTTTTCTGTAAGGATTAAAGCAGAGGGAACTTCATCATTACATCTATTGAAGATTTAAACTAGCCTGTTTGGGAAATTGGCTGTTATGTCTTTCTCCTTATTTCTCGGAAGGTCAGACCACAACCTAAGTGTTGTAGAACTGAGCAAGGGTGACTTCCATTTGGGTTTAGTCTGGTCTATTGGGGTCTAGTGCAGGAACTTAGTCCAAAACAATGACCTCCTATAATTTTATTTAACACTGTGTAGAGGCCAATGGAAAAACTTCCTTTTCACCCTTGAAGGTTCACTAAAAATCACTGACAAATTCGCATCAGTATGATGAAAAGGCATGACAACTTT